AGAGAGAGAGAGAGAGAGAGAGGGAGAGGGAGGGAGAAAGAGAGCTGTGATAAATCGGCTCTGAGAACTTCGTAGAAGGAGTAACTTTGAGTTTTTTAATTGAAAAGGGGGCAACGGTTCTCAACTTGCGAAATTTCTTTGCTCTCGCGGTATTGACGGTTTCCGTTTTTATCGACGGGGTTTTAATTTCGACACTTATTGTATTTCCTTCGACGCGATGAAATCTTCAAATTTTGAATTCTACGCTTGGCTGGAATAATTAGTTATTGCGGCTTTGTTCTTGTTCAATGCCTCTTTTATTAAATATATGGAGTTTTTTTTAAGAAACTTGAGTAACGATAAAAAATAAGAAAGGAAATTTACGAGTCGGTTACAGTATCAATCTCGGTTACTGCCGCCATTTTATTTCCTTGGAGCCATGTAATAAAATGCGCTATATTCGAATAGAAAATAAAATTGTTTCGAAATTGTACGTAAGTTAGGTATCTCGTTATATTTTATATAGAAATAAGAAATAATTGTAGATGTGTATTCACAGTTGGTTAACAAAAGTGTTTTATAATAAAATTATGTACGCATATATATCTTTAAAGATGGAAATATATTTTTAATTCAATATAACTTCTTTAATAGAACAAGTTAAACTTTTTGCTTCTCGAAATATAAATTAAAATTAATAATATATATATTATATTTGATACATAATATTTCACGATATACGTTGAAATTATAATATAATTATCGGTAATAATATTATAATTAATGTATTTGAAACAGAATATTTCGGAGAAATTCTATAATAATACAAACTCCGCGATATCGATTTCTACGTGTTAACAATCGTGTTCAACAGCTAGAAGAAGCTAGAGCTACATAATTCAATTTCGTCTCTTGATAAAAATATATTTTCTCCACTATTGTTCTATCTATGCATGTAGAACAAGTGTAAAAATTTTATAGTCGGACGAAAAATACTTCTCCAAGTCGTATCCGCTTGTTTCGATAGGTGTATTCGATGGTTTATGATTTATTTAATGGGAGAAACTATTTCTCTGGTACACGACCAATCCATATACTTTATCGTTCGTTCCCGAGTGATGCAATATCTCCGGCAACCCTGACCAATAGCCTCTGCGGAAAGTGCATTTTTTCTCACCCCTCTAGGACTGAATCTTTCTCGTTGGAAATAAAATTTCACGATTTGAAACGGAAACGAAACATAGAGAAGCACACCTAGAGGAGACTTTCTATTCGATCATCTGCAGTTACTTAAAAGATTGGAGCTGAAATTACGACTTCAAATTCCATGGTTGGATAATACGTTTATATGGGTTAACGTGGAAACATGGATAATTGTTTCAAAGTTTTTAAGTTTCGAAATAAATGTAAAGAGAGAGAAAAATATAATAATAATGATAATATTATATATACAGGATATTTTTATATCGTATAGAGGTTGGTATATAAAAATTTGATTTATTTATTTATTAAGTTATATTAGCAATTTTAGGATACAGATAGAGTTGTATCTATTTTTACCT